CCCTGACAACACACCCCCCAGTAGGCTTATTGGAGAGATAAGATGTGATCTTTCAGCATGTTCCATATTTAGAAAGATGGTAACGGTAACCCTATATGCAAAACAGAAAAAGAGACTCAGATGTATAGAACAGACTTGTGGACTCTGGGAGAAGGCGAGGGTGGGATGTTTCAAGAGAACAGCATCGAAACATGTACATTATCTAGGGTGAAAGAGATCACCAGCCCAGGTTGGATGCATGAGACAAGTGCTCGGGCCTGGTGTACTGGGAAGACCCAGAGGAATCGGGTGGAGAAGGAGGTGGGAGTGGGGATCGGGATGGGGAATACATGTAAATCCATGGCTAATTCATGTCAATGTATGACAAAAACCACTACAATATTGTAAAGTAATTAGCCTCCAACTAATAAAAAAAAAAAAATAAAGTATATGGAGGCATTTACACACATAAAAATTGACCAGCCTGTAAAAAGGCAATGTAGCCCAAACAAACTTTAAGAAAAATATATTAAAGTCTTAAGGAACCAGAACCAAGTGGAGGTCCTCACCTAATGGATATGAAGGTATTCCCTTTTATTTTCTCAAAAAGTGACAGAGTTTTCATTGTAACTGGAAATGAGAAAAAGTATAGCTTGGTTTCTGGCAGAATTGTAGGTGATACAACCCTTGGATAGCATGCATTTAATTGCTAGGAAACATTTTTTTTTTTAAGAAACACTTTCTATGGAAAAATTTAAATGTCTAAATCCTGAAAAGTACAGTAAACATCCACAGTACTCAAAACATACTGAGATGCACACGACCTTAATGTATTCCTTCCAGGATTTTTAATTATAAAGTTCAATAACTCCTTTAAAGATAGGAATTGTTTGTCTGTTCAACAAACATTACATCAGAGCCAAGCAATAATGTAATCTGCAAAACTGGTCTTGCCAGGTGGCTCAGTGGTAAAGAATCCCTGCCAATGCAGGAGATACAGGTTCGATCCCTGGGTTGGGAAGATGCCCCGGAGGAGGAAATGGCAACCCACTCCAGTATTCTTGCCTAGAAAATTCCAAGGACAAAGGAACCTGATGGGCTACAGTCGATGGGGTGGAAAAGAGTCAGACACAACAGACCACACACACACACGTAAGTCACAGGCGAAGGAGCCTGACCTGCTTTAGGCCACTGTTCGCTGCGTTGGGTTCTTCTGCTCATATGCGGAGCAGTCAGGAAGCCTCTTTGCTTTCCCAGTGCCCAACACAGTGCAGCTTTCAAAATTCGACATCTGGCCCCAAAAGAGATTCCTGCTCTCAAACTGCTAAACCAACGTTGCTAAACTTAGCAGCTCTTGCCTGAGAATTTTCACAGGTGTTTATTTGCATATATGCAATTCCTCTTGTTACACTAGCATTTAAACAAATTGTTTGAGTCATGTTTCAAATCTAATTTGTGAATGTTGGTGTAATTTATGAACGTTTATGTCTGACTATGCAACCCCATAGTGGAGATAGTAATTTTTCAAAATTTCTGGCCATTCCCAGAGATTAAAGAGTTAGAAAATAGGCAAAATTTAAACTACCATCTGCTGGCCCCTGCTCATATTATCAAATGCCCAGGCTTTAAAAATGTCATCTTATTTAATACCCTTGCCTCTGTGGATGAAAAAATGTTGCTTGCCATATCATTCAACAAAGGATGTTAAATGCACCCTAAATGCACCCTGAAGGCATTTAGGGTGGAGAAAAGCATGATACTGGCCCTGGAGAGCTCAATGTTCAAATTACTTAGTCCCTAAGTCATGTCCAATACTCTTTAAGACCCCGTGGACTGTAGCCTGCCAGGCTCCTCTGTCCATGGGGATTCTCCAGGCAAGAATACTAGAGTGGGTTGCCATGCCCTCCTCCAAGGAATCTTCCTGACCCAGGGATTAAACCTACGTCTCGTGCATCTCCTCCACTGGGGGTGGGTCCATTACCTGCTGAGCCATCAGGGAAGTTCATGGTGAATATTAGCATTTATATTTTATAGATAAGAAAATTAAGTAACTTGCCGAAGAATAAGGTTGGCATTTGAACACAGATATTCTGAAGACATGCTCTTTTTCTTCATACCATCATTGGGGGTGGGGGGGAGGTGTGAGGAGTAAATACTCTAGGCTGGATACTAGTTTTATGTTCTTTCTGTAATAAACCTGCTATAAATAACCTGTAATAGAGCTTCACAGACCTGAAATATTTTTAGAACCACAGAGTAATTCCTGGATTCAAATTAAAATCACATCTATGTAAAAGCGATTTTGTCATGCAAGTCTATTTTCTTCCCTGTGTTTTGAAACTGTAAGACACCCAAGCACAATGGTTACAGAAGGAGCATGGTGGAGGGGCTGCCCCAAGGCAAGAAACCTGGACCCATGGGCCTTATCACAGTCTGCCAAATGCATTTCAAAAAATGTATGTGGGTCTCAGATCCTCTGACAAAAACAACTTTTATTTTCAAGAATAGGAAGAGTGAGGGGGTTTTGGTATCTTTTTATAGGAAATTTCCACCCACTGGCTTTAAATTGTACTTTTTATTCAAAAGCACAGCATGTTTTTATATTTAAAACTTCCTAGGAAACTGAGAGCCATTTTCTCACACTCTGACTCATGGTTTTACTCTGACTGGGTGAACAGCATCCCCAAGGTCTTACTAGACAGACCTACTGAAACCTTCCAGATCAAAAGGAAATGGTAGGTAAACAGCTGCTCCACTTTTTAGTTCTTCTGTAGGAGATGGAAAAGCAGAAGCTACAATACTCAGTTTTAGCATCAGATTCAATAACAACTTCTGAGAAGAACAAGGATTAATCTGAAAGCTGGGCTCTCTTAAGTCCGACCCATGTATTGAGGGGCCTTCTGTCATTTTGGAGAACAAGGATGCAAACTCACAAGCACAAACTTAAAAGCAAACAAAAATATTTATGTAGAGAAACAAACCACAAATTATAAATTTAATGTTCACATTAGATAAGTTATCAATTGAATGAAGCGGTGGTTTGTTTCACAACAAACAAAATCCCCCCCTCAAAATTACATAATATTTTGATTAACAATCTCTAGACACATTTCATTAATGTTCCTTTTTCTGCATACCCTTTTTAATCACTTTTTAATAAGATTTTGTCTACACGCCCTTTTAAATTGCTTCTTCCTATAAAGAAAGATTTTGTAAAATAAATAAACATTTATATAAAATAAACATTTTCTGAAGAAAGAATAAAAGTTATATCTGGGTTCTTTTTTAGCTTACTTTATTAAAATTGTATTCTCGTCAACATTTATAGTTTAGAATACTTTTTTTTCAGCTTCTCAACTCATTATCAGACTTCCCTGGTGGCTCAGAGGGTAAAGTGTCTGCCTGCAATGCGGGAGACCCGGGTTCAATCCCTGGGTAGGGAAGATCTCCTGGAAAAGGAAATGGCAACCCACTTGCTTGGAGAATCCCATGGACAGAGGAGTCTGGTAGGCTACAGTCCACGGAGTCGCAAAGAGTCGGACACAACTGAGCGACTTCACTTCAACTCATTATCGGTCATGTCGTACATTTTAAAGATTTTTGTCAAATTTAGAGAGATTTCTATCATTTCTTTCATATAGAAGTTGGAAAATCTGGAAAATCTCTCCACAGACACTTTCTGGCTCCATATATTTCAAACCTTTTTTCTCCTCAGGTACCCACATACTGTCAGCACAAGGCCCTATAAAAAGTGTTCTTACAGGGACTTCCCTGGTGGCCCAGTGGATAAGACTCCGCCTGCCAATGCAGGGGACACGGGTTCAATCCCCGGTCCAGGAAGATTCCACATGCCACAGAGCAACTAAGCCTGTTCACCACAACCACTCCTGCGAGCCGCAACTACTGAACCCAAGTGCCTAGAGCCTGTGTTCCACAGCAAGACGAGCCACGGCAGGGAGAAGACCGAGCGCCGCAAACAAGAGAAAGGCCGCGCAGAGGGACGAAGACCCAGCATAGCCAAAACCCAGATAAATAATTTTTTTAACTGTTCTTACACGTGTTCTTATTCATCTCAAGCTGGGTGAGCAGGCATAGTGGCCAGTGGGAATTTCTCTGCCAGGCCCTAGTACCCCGGAACAGCTATCAACGGCTGATCTCTTCAAGAAGGTGACCGCACACTGCATAAATACATCTCACTGAACCCAAAGTAAATGTATCCATAGTCAACCTTCCCATATCCCAACCCCCAAAGCCCCATGGCCACTCCACGGCCATCCAAGGGCAGGGAGAGTATGGGGGTCAGAGTGGAAGGAGACAGCAGTCTTAACTGATTGCATTTTAAAATATCTCTTGCAAATTTTTTCAAAGCCACATGACCATTTGATCCATTTTTGCCCCTGACCCTTCCTAAAAACCTTAGGGGGAACCTGAGTGAGTAGACGCTCTTAGCTCAAACGGCCTTTGCTTCTCAGTAAGGGCCACCCCTCTGTGTCCTAGCTTTTCACACCCTTAGACTTTCACTATCAGGGAGAATCATGCACGGCTCTTAAATTACTTCAGTCTCGCACCCACCCCATAATCACAGTCACGGAAGTCATCAGTTAAGTCATAGCGAGTGAAGGCTGAGCTCATAAGGCACCAGGTCAGGTGCTTCAGGTATGTTCATTCATTGACACATCACAGCAACCCTGAGAAATACTCCTCCCACGTTCAGGTTAGGAAGCAGGCTCAGAATCACTAAGTTGCAGAGCAGCACCCAGGGCCAGCTCCCTGAAGCTCTTACTCCCTCTACTGTAATGGCCATTTCATGAGGTCGCTTTTGCCTCCCACAATAAAGCGACACACACTTATAACAGAAGACATTGTCAGCACAGAGAAACAGAAGGAATTTTTTTAAATTACCTATACTTGTAATGGTTTATAATTGTAAATACCTATACTGTAATTACGGTGACTGAAGCCATGAAATTAAAAGACGCTTGCTCCTTGGAAGAAAAGCTGTGACAAACCTAGTCAGTGTATTAAAAAGCAGAGACATCATTTTGCTGACAAAGGTCCATGTAGTCAAAGCTATGATTTTTCCAGTAGTCAGGTATGGATGTGAGAGCTGGGCCATAAAGAAGGCTGAGTGCTGAAGAATTGATGCTTTTGAACAGTGGTGCTAGAGGAGACTCATTCTTGAGAGTCCCTTGGACTTCAGAGAGATCGAACTCATCAATCCTAAAGGAAATCAACTCTGAATATTCATTGGAAGGATTGATGATGAAGCTGAAGCTCCAGTACTTTGGCCACATGATACGAAGACCCAACTCATTGGAAAAGACCCTGATGCTGGGAAAGATTGAAGGCAAAAGGAGAAGAGGGTGGCAGAGGATGAGATGGTTAGATAGCATCACTGACTCAATAGACATGAGTTTGAGCAAACTTTGGGAGACCGTGAAGGACAGGGAAGGCTGGCGGGCTGCAGTCCCTGTGGTTGCAAAGAGTTGGACATGACTGGGCAACTGAACAACATTTGTATTACACAGATACAACCATAGTTAAGATTTTTATATATTTCCATGTTTTATGGAAACTAGAAATTGAAATTATTATATTAAATAAATGTATTTCCCCCATTTTTAAAGAAACATGTTCCTTGTCAAAAATATGAAAAATATTAAAAATTATAAACAAACTAAACCACATCTGTATTAGTTTTCTAGGACTGCTATAACAAAGCGGGTGGCTTATACACAAGGAATTGATGGTCTCCTAGCTGTGGGATCTAGAAGTCCAAGATCACGGTGTGACTCAGGCTGGGTCCTTCTGAGGCAGTAAGGAAGTCTCCCGGCTTCTCCCCTAGCTTCTGGTAGCTCTCTTGGCTTGCAAAAACACCACACCACTGTCTTTATCTTCATGGGATTTCCTGCTTGTGAGGGTCTGTGCCTAAATTCCCCTTCTTAAAATGACACCAATCATATTGGACTAGGAGTCCACTATATTCATATATGACATAGTTCTAATTCAACTAACTATACCTGCAAAGACCCTATCTCCAAGGTTCTGAAGGTTAGGACTTTAACACGAATTTGGGGGGGACAAAATTCAATCCAGAACACCATTCCATGAGCCAAAGAAAACCAGTGTTAGCAGTCTGAAGTGAAGTCTCTCAGTCATGTCCAACTCTTTGCAACCCCATGGACTATAGCCTACCAGGCTCCTCCATCCATGGAATTTTCCAGGCAAGAGTACTGGAGTGGGTTGCCATTTCCTTCTCCAGGGGATCTTCTTGACCCAGGGAATGAACCTGGGTCTCCCGCATTGCAGGCAGACATCTGAGCCACCAGGGAAGCAGTTTAGCAGTTTCTAAAATACAACCACAAATTTTTTTGACACTCCTCCCACTGAAAGTGGTATGTATGGCCCCTTTTCCTTGAGTGTGGGCAAGTTAGCAACTGCTTTGAGCAATGGCCCTAGTGCCCAAGTCATCACAACCCAGGCACCAGACAGAAGAGTGGAAGAACTTCCAGAAGTTTCCAGCCTCTACTATCAAATCATCCCCAATATGAGTCTTATCAACAGGGGTTCCAGGCTTCACGGGATGAAGACAACAAACCACCCCCACTGCACCCTGTTCCAATTCCTAGCCCACAGGATGCGGGAGCCTGAGAAAATGGTTATTACTGAAACCACTCGTTTCTGGGGGAACTGGTTACACAGAAATAGTAACTAGAAATGTTATGATTCTCAGCCTTTTTCCTGTTCGTTTATGAATATGGCTCCTGCTGAACTGAGTCACTAACTTCCTTGATGAAAAGGAAATGATAAATTGTGTATCTGCTTCTGAGATTTTCTTTAAGAAATAGAAAAAGAAATAAGCTACATTTCTAAACATCAGCATCATATGTATATGATGAACGTGCTGGTTCCAAGCATAGGTAACAAGGGGACATTCACAAGTCCCAGATGAGATAAAGCAAAGCTTCAGGCTGTAATGGCTGCTAACACACTGTTTGCTAGTCTTGCCCAATTCAGAGTATCACAAGCCAGACAAGCATCCAAGTTTGAAAGACGCAGAAAGCATGAGAGGCTCTTGGACATGAAACTGTTCAGTACACTGCATTCAGGTCTGTCCTGAGAAAAGGAATGTTCAGTTCCTCTCGACACTGTATCTCAACCAGGTAAGTAGCTAAGACAGTATTACCCGCTGTTGGAAACCAAATCAGTTTTAAGCAGTCATCAAACTTGACATTCCTTCTGAAACAAGGGGTAAAGCATGTGGGAAGAGAAATACATTTTCTGGGAAATGGGAGTTACCTCAGGAGGAACAGTTCAGGGAAGCTTCGCAGGCCAAGTTTCACCCTCAGCCCCCAGAACTGACCAGACCACACGGAGGTCAACCAAGAAGCTACACTGTGGTCCAAAGTAAGGCTGGTCTCATGTGTCCTTCTGAATCGTGATTCCCTCATTACTGAGCTTTCATTTTGACTTCTCTTTTGTTAGCATTTTTGTAAGTTTTTTTTTTTTTTTAAATGAGGGACAGGATGGTCATGGGCTTACCTGATAGCTCAGTTGGTAAAGAATCTGCCTGCAATGCGGGAGACCTGGGTTTGATCCCGGGTTGAGAAGAACCCCTGGGGAAGGGAAAGGCCACCCACTCCAGTATTCTGGCCTGGAGCATTCCATGGACTGTATAGTCCATGGGGTGGCAAAGAGTCGGACACGACTGAGCAACTTTCACTTTCACTTCTTTCAGGAATGTCTGGTGCAAGGCTGCAAATCTGAAAGTAAATACCATTGCCTTGAAAAATAATGGACTTTTGAAGTGTGAGGTTGTTCCGAACATTTTCCCTGAAAACTCTTAATAGATGTTGTTTAACTGTCTTCTGATCTTGAGTGTTGCAGAAAAGCCTAAGGTCAGTGGGATTTTCATTCTCACAAGGGGATTTGCTTCTTTTTGCCTGAATTTTCACGAGATCTGTCTTCTATACTCCTGTAATGTAAAAACGTTGCCATTAGTTTTTCTTGGATTGTGGAGAACCCTCTTGATCTGTGTATTCAAGTACCAATGCTTAACTCAGGAAACAGTTGTTAAATTAAGCCCAGTTGCTATTTCTACTGCACCATAGGGATAGGAGTCTACGGTTGCATTATCTGCTCTGCTACATACCGATCAACTATCTCACGTGTGTGTGTGGTAGTCAGTTGTGACTCCACGGACCACAGCCTACCAGGCTCTTCTGTCCATGGGATTGCCCCAGGTAAGAATACTGGAGTGGCTAGCCACTCCCTTTTCCAGGGGATCCTCCCAACCCAGGATCAAACCCAGGTCTCCTGCGTTGCAGGTTCATTCTTTACCATCTGAACCATCTGGGAAAGCCCAATAGGGTCAATATTTTTAATCCTTTCCTCTAGTTCTGGGAACATTTTTCAGGATGGTTCTCTAAATCACTGATGTGATACTCAACGACCTTCTCTATAATGTGGATTTGAATTATTGCATCATCATTCTCCTTTGAATCACATATTTCCTAATAACCCCTACTTCATGTTGATTCAGACAGCGAGCTCTCAGACCCTCAAAGTTCTAGGCTTCTCTCACCTCTTGGGCTTCACACATGGTATTCTTTCCCCCCTTATTTCATCCGGCAAACTCCTACAAGTTCATATGACCTGATTTCCAGTGTCCTTTCACGCAGGAAGCTTGCCATGACCCCTAGCATGGGTGAGGGGTCCTTGTGCTCCTATTGCACCCTGTCCCACCCTGTTATCACACATCTCACACAAGAGTTTAAGTTTCTATTCCCCTGATTATCTCCACTAGACCCGTGAGGACAGTTCTATTCATCATCTTATTCTCAGCACCCTAGCACAATCACTGGCACTCAGAAAGTCTTTGCCTATAGTATCACTCCCTCTCAATCGCATCTAGCTGTCTTTCAAGTATTCTTTTTCTTGTGGTTTCCTGTCTTATTCATAGGTGGTGCCAGTATTTTTAAGGATGCCAAACAGTCTCACTTCTAGAGATTCAGCTTCCTCTGACTATTCAAAGGCATAGTTCAAAGGCACATATAATCCAATTCTGAGAATATAAAGAAATACTATGCTGTCTAAAAAAAAAAGACAGGAAATTAACATGGGGCAGTATTATTAAGTACAGACTTTAAATTTCACAAAATTTTATGCTAGTGTCCATTATTTGATTTCATGTCTTATTCAAGACTCCACATTGTATTTAATTGCATTGAGCAGCTTCAGCTGCGTGCAACAAATTCTGGTAAATTCTCTTTCCATTTTTATTCTATTACATTTTCTAATATTCCCTGTTATGGCTCCTTAGATACACCCATCATTTAAAAATGGACATTTAATTTCCAATACATGGGATGTTTAAAAGTATCTTTCATTTTTTTTCTTATTTTGATAGTAATTTCTCATTTAAATGCTTTATTCTTGGCAATCGCCCTCTGGATTTTTTCAGTCTCCTAACTTTATTGAGACTTTCAATGGTTAAGTCAAAGATCTTAGTAAATGTCACATTGTACTTGAAAATATGTGCGTTATTTTCAAATATCTTTTGATATTGATTTCGAACATAATTCCACAGTGATAAGAGAACAGACTCTATGATTCCAATACCTTTGCTGCTGCTGCTAAATCGCTTCAATTGTGTCTGACTCTGTGGGACCCCATAGACGGCAGCCCACCAGGCTCCCCCGTCCCTGGGATTCTCCAGGCAAGAACACTGGAGTGGGTTGCCATTTCCTCCTCCAATGCATGAAAGTGAAAAGTCAAAGTGAAGTCGCTCAGTCATGTCTGACTCTTCATGACCCCATGGATGGCAGCCTACTAGGCTCCTCCGTCCATGGGATTTTCCAGGCAAGAGAACTGGAGTGGGGTGCCATTGCCTTCTCCGAGACAGCTGGCTATAGCTTGCCAACCTATTACTGGATTCCCCATGGTCCTTACTTCATGGATTTTTCTCTTTAGTGTGATTTCTCTCATAAAGGATACAGTCAGACCAGGAAAGGCTTGTCCAGTCATGGAATTTACAGAGATCCTCCAGGATGACCTTGTTCTCGTGCCCAGAAGGTACGAGGTGGTACTAGTCATTTTGACATTAAAGACCAGGTTAGGGGTTCCCTCTCCAAGTTCTCCTGTTTGTTGAGAGCCACGTGGACACTGGTGGCTTCCTCCCGCCTCAGACACACGTTTTCTCACCCACTGAGTTCTCACATAGTTCCAATGCGACATGGAAAAACCCAAGTCTCCACTGTTACTATACGAACTGGATTTCCTCCAAGTTAGCAATTTGTCCCAAGTTAACAGTTTATGCCCTTTAGACCATGAAATTCTTGCACCTTATGACCCTGGATATGGTCCAGCGTCTCTCAGTTTATAGTCTATGGGAACTTGAATAGAATTTGTATCCTACTATTGTGTGAAAACTGTATAAATCTTAATTATGCTGAGTTGGTTCATAGTGCTTTTCAGGTCTACTATATCCTTCTACTTCTCCATATGGTCATTCTATTAATTTTTGAGAGTTTGATATTAAAACTCCCAACTAAAATTTTAATTTATCTACTTAAAAAATAATTGTGATATATAGTAGAACTATATGGAACCTTGTTCTGTATTTTCTAAGTCTCCTGTAAATGTCTTATCATACTTTCATAATTTAAAAAATAAAAGAGAAACATTTTAAAAAAGAAAAAACTAAGGCATATTTTCTTTCCCTTGTTTGACAGCACTTCTTCCAGAGGCTTTAGCTTTCTCCTCTTCCTCCTGCTCCTCTTCCAATAAGGGAATTAAGACTGGGTGTCTGCCAACCAATGACATCATAACTGCCCCCAGCCTCACTCCTGGGTGCATTTTAAATCCCCTTCTCAAGCTGAAACAGACTGTGTTTTGCACAACTTTCACTGCACTCCCCTCACTGAAATCTACTGTGTTCTTCTAAACAGATTATATATAAAATTCAATTCATTTTATATAGGAAAGTTTATAAAACTTGCTTCTGGTTCTAAGAAAACTCAGGTCAGGATAATTTTTTCAGATCAAATTTCATAGATAATTAAAAAGATATCTGATAATGAATACATGTGCAAGGAAAAATTCATTAATTGTTCAAGATTTCTTGGTTAAAAATAATTCACTTATTTGGGGGGGTTAAAAGAAATTAAATATTATATGACCAGCAAATGCACCTCATAATATTGATACGTATGTTCCTAAAGAGTTAAGTAAAACTAGGTTTTCATTAATATATATTCCAGATCAGAACGCCTTTTTAAAGAATACCATTCTGAAATGTTTAAAATGAAGATTTCTTTTTAAAAATTATACCTATCTCTTTTTTTGGTAATTAAAACAAAATTTTTTTTCAATTTCTTTAAATTAGGTACATTGATCCCACCATCTTAACTATTTAAAATGTGAAATTATTGAAGATAAAATAACAATGCAAGACTAATTTTTTTAATAGAGACATGTAGATCCAAAGATTAGACTGTCGTGGAACGTTTGCTTTTTATTTTTTCTTTAATTTGAAAGTCAGTATTAGTTGACAATGGCTTTCATCAATTTGAAATTCATATTCTCCTCACCAAAATCAAGGTAATTCATAGCATCTACTTCTTCAGCTCCATCTTCTCACCTTCTCAAGCTACAGGATGCTGTATTGTGGATGTCCTACAACCTTTATAATATTACAATGCTCCCTATTAGGTGGAGGAAGCAAGTTGGAACCAAAGAGATAAAGACATCAGCTGGAAGAACAGAGGGAAGTAGGGGTGCACACTTTGCTGTCATTCAAATCCCCGGGGATTTGAATCAAATATGAATCATAGCCCTTCCATCCTATAGCACTGCCATTCCTGAAGTCACCTGAACTCCCCTTATAAACTTCAAAACATGCCCTTCTAGCCAAGCAAGAAACTGGATTCCTACCATTGCAAATGATAATCTTCACTAATACAACTGCTTAATATTATACCTATACTGCTACAAACTTGGGCATAAGTGATTTTTATCAAAGTTGTTTTAAATCTTGTATTTACATCACCCTTCGTCATTTTCTAAACATCTCTGTTATACACATCTGTTTTGACATGCAAAAATAATTGAGTGAGATAAGTGGCATTTACTGTTACTTTAAAATAATAATGAAAGATTTTTAAAAATCAGTAAGATGAAGAATCATTTAAATTTTGCCTGAGGTCACACAGCTAGTGAGTATAAAACTGGAGTTGAACCCCAGTCTTCTAACTCCCAAACCAGAGCTCTAAATCCAGAACCCTAGCCTGCTGATTCCCAGCCTTGTGTTCAATATGTTCTTTTAGGCCTGTGCACAAATGTCAAATACTCTTGGTTCAGTTAGTTGCTCAGTCATGTCCAACTCTTTGTGACTCCATGGACTGCAGCACGCCAGGCTTCCCTGTCTATCACCAACTCCCAGAGCTTGCTCAAACTCATGTTCATCCAATCCGTGATGCCATCCAGCCATCTCATCCTCTGTCATCCCCTTCTCCTCCTGCCTTTAATCTTTCCCAGCATTAGGGTCTTTTCCAATGAGTCAGTTATTCAAATATTCTAGAGAGAACTTAAACAGAAAACTTTCCACAATGTAAACAATTACCTTCTAGTCAGTCTATTTTTAAAATGTGATTTAAAAAAAATAGTATTTCCTTAATACAGGTATGCTTGTGCTCCAACTATTCTATTTGCCAGAAGAAGCTAATGAAGAATTAGTGACACCTTGTGGCAAAAACTTATTAATTCATGAGCTACTACCATCCAAAGCCCTCATGCACTTCACTAAGTAGTTAAGACAATAGCAAAACATCTGGAAAGGATAATCTGTGGCTACAGACTCTGCATCTCACAACTAAAACTGTCCTCCCTTTGTTCCACTTGGGCTCAGTTCCCACCACTTCACAGAAACTGCTATTTTTGTGAAGTTCACAGACAACTTCCATGCTGGCAAACCCAATGGTTACTTCTCAGTTCTCATCTTACACAACTTCTTGTAATAACCGGCTGACTCCACCGCTCCTGAAACTTTTGGTTTCACCAAGACCACACTCTTTCCTTTTTAGTTTTAATGTCTCTAAAGCCCTCTGAACTCTCATCAGTACCAGATTCTTATCTTATCTCCAACCTTTCCACCCAACTCCAGACACACGTCTAAACCGCCAGCATGACTCGTCCATTTGATACCCCAAGCGTTTCAGAATGAAAAGTGCCCACAAGAACTTCCACCCAGACGGCTGCATCTCAGTAAATGACATTAAATGATTGTTAACCCCATTTTGCAGATTTGCAATATGAAACACAAATACATTACTTCGCCAGAAGCTATGGGGCTAGTACAGTGCAGAACCCAGATTTAAATCCACACAGCACTTAACTGAATGCAAAAGCAAAGGCAAATAACTGTTACCACTCAGTTCAGTTGAGTCGCTCAGTCGCATCCGACTCTTTGCCACCCCATGGACTGCAGTAGCCAGGTCTCCCTGTCCATCGCCAACTCCCTAAGTTTACTCAAATTCATGTCCATTGCATCGGTGATGCCTCCAACCATCCCATCCTCTGTCATTCCCCTTCTCCTCCTGCCTTCAATGTTTCCCAGCATCAGGGTATTTTCAAATAAGTCAGTTCTTTGTATCAGGTGGCCAAAGGACTGGAGTTTCAGCTTCAGCATCAGTCCTTCCAATGAATATTCAGGACTGATTTCCTTTAGGGTGGACTGGTTGGATCTCCTTGCTGTCCAAGAGACTCTCAAGAGTCTTCTCCAACACCACAGTTCACTCAGGGAAGCATAAGCTTCACTTACACAAACCCAGTCCTTTCACATCGCCAACACTAAAACCAGTACATTTGCTGTTTCTAAGAACAGACCCGTCCCTTGACGCTTCATTTTTTAGGGCAAGAGGAGGACGGCCTAAAAGACGCAAGAAGACGCCCATCCTTTATCAAAAATGAGATGTCTGTGGGGGCGGCCCTCCACGCCCAAGGACCGCCCCCTGAGGACTAGCAACAGAGCAGTAAGCAGGGAAGGAAAGCAGAAAAGGGCAGACCAGCTACGCACGCGGACCCTGGGGCGGAAGAGGTGGCGGTGCTGGGAGACAACGGGGAAGCCCCTCGGCCCGGCCCTGGCACGTAACAAGAGATAGGAGGCTGGACGCCATGCGTGTGCGGTCGTAGGTCCGGATCAGAGGCGGGGCGGCAGGCGCGGGAGAAACGGCCAAGGGCGGTACCCGAGGAGCGGGCTCTGAGTGAACGGCGCCAACCCAGGCCCCGCCGAGCGCCCCTCTAGAGTGTGGCCGGGGACTGTCGGGGCCCTCCTGAGGCCTCAGCTGGTACAGCCGGGCCCGCCTTGTTCATGCGCAAGCTCGTTGACCAGGAAGACGCGGGTAGGCGGAGTCGAGAACCGGAAGTGCCCGGGCGCACCGGAAACCTTCCCCAGAAGCCCGCCAGCCGGAACAGCCCTGAGGCCCCGCCCCTCGACGGAACGCTGGGTTGCTGGGCAACCGGCGCGGGCGCCGCGGGAGGGTTCGGTGGTGCCCAGAACCGTCCCTGTGTAGCTCCTACATCCTGCCCTGGCAACCTCCCGGCCCGCCCGCCTCCCTTCTTGCCGCCCCTCCTCGCGTCACGGAATCCCTGCCCTTGGCACTACGTGCACCTCTCCGGCTCCCACGACACTCTAGTGCCCACCTGCTTCGAAGCCAAGCTTCACCGAAAGGGAAGCGGGCCGACCCCGGGCGCGACCTCCACGTTGGCTGAGCGCGCCTCCCCGGCCATGACCACCTACACCTACACCAGCCGGCCCCGGGCCTTGCCCTCCCAGCGCCGCCGTTACCGGGACGACCTGATGCAGCAGTGAGTGAGCAAAGCGGCCCCTGTGGGGTCTCTCCCCATCCTGGGGCCGCGGGATCTTGGCCCTTGAGCCCTGGCAGAAACTGCCTATGCTGCTTTCCCTTCCCTGCTCTCTGAGAAATAAATTCCCTCCCTAAGGAACTCTCCTGGAGAAGGAAATGGCAACCCACTCCGGTATTCTTGCCTGGAGGATCCCAGGGACACAGGAGCCTGGTGGGCTGCCATCTAGGGGGTCGCAGAGTCGGACACAACTGAAGCGACTTAGCAGCAGCAGCAAGAAACTCTCCTGTGTTGTGGAGGACTGAAGCAATAAAGGGAATTAGTTAACTTTTTAGTGATCATGATGCTGGCATGATTGGTAACATGTGCACGGAAACCACTTATTGAGTCAACAGATGTTTATTGGCCAACTGTGTGCCAAGCAGGCACCCTCTAGGGACACCAACATACATTTTCTTACCTAGTCTCCAGTGCTGTGAAGTTGGTTTTATATTATGTATTATGCATATAAAGAAACGGATACAAAGGTGTACCTCACAATAGCGTGTCTGTGATGGGAGCTACGTAAATCTCTCACAGGAATCTGATTCTCCTTCCATGCTGGACCGCAAATTGTACTTTTACTTCATCAGTATTGCAAATATTCAGGTATCCATATTTGGAAAGGGCGTTAAATATTATGGTTCTCTTAAAGTTCTTTGTGTACGCTTCAAATTTTGGAATCAGCAGAACTTTCCAAGACTGCAGGCTCCATGGAAGCAAGACCCTTTATGACTTTTGTTCACTAAAGAGCTACCTGACACAGAGTTAGCAATCAACACAGATTGTTGAATTAAAAACTGAACATGAGTTCTTGATGCTTATTTAAAGCAGAGTCTAAAATCATAATTATCTTATTCTGACAATAAAGACATTTTTTAATAAGAAAGGTCTATCACTTTAAGAAAACCAAAATAAGAACATTTAAATTATAAAAGGATTCCATTTTAAAAGGGACTCCTTGGAGAAATATTTCCTAGTGCCTTGAAGTGGTTGCTTACAAATCCTTCCTATTAAATCACACCAACAGATGAAATCAGAATCATTGGTGGGTCCTTAGAAACAATTTCTCTTTTTATAGAATTATTTGATTGTTATATTGAAGCAATCTGAATCAAGCCTTTGAGAGGAGTTCTTTTAGATGTATCTATTTAATTTTTCAGTTTACAAATTTATAAAAGTAATACATTCTTGTGAAGCAAATGGAAATTACAAATAAGGAGGAGTAAAGGCAAAGTTAATTATCTCTCACCCATCTCTACTCCCACTTCCCTGTTGTAACCAAACTTAACAATCTTATTCTTCCACACCTTGCTGGTGCACACAAAGAGGAGCATATGTACGTGTATATGGAAGGTTTTATTTCCGAAATGGAATCATACTACACATATTAATCTGCACTTGGCTCCCTCTACTTTTTTTCTTCTCCACTTTTTTATAAACTCTAATTCCTTTTTTCCCCTAATTTCTTTCTGTATACATGCACACACAGATCTAATTTTTTAATAAATGTACTCATTCATGCCTGTGGGTATTCTTCAGTTCAGTTCAGTCGCTCAGTCATGTCCGACTCTTTGTGACCCCATGAATTGCAGCACGCCAGGCCTCCCTGTCCATCACAAACTCCTGGAGTTTACCCAAACTCATGTCCATCCAGTTGGTGATGCCATCCAGCCACCTCATCCTCTGTCGTGCCCTTCTCCTTCTGCCCCCAATCCCTCCCAGCATCAGGGTCTTTTCCAGTGAGTCAGTTCTTTGCATCAGGTGGCCAAAGTACTGGAGTTTCAGCTTCAGCATCAGTCCTTCCAGTGATCACCCAGGACTGATCTCCTTTAGGATGGACTGGTTGGATCTCCTTGCAGTCCAAGGAACTCTCAAGAGTCTTCTCCAACACCACAGTTCAAAAGCATCCATTCTTCGACGCTCAGCTTTCTTCACAGTCCAACTCTCACATCCATACATGACTACTGGGAAAACCATATATGTGTATAATTGATACACTTTGCTGTACTCCTGAAACTAACTCAATATTGTAAATCAAATATACTTTAATTTTTGAAAATGAAAAGTTGACTTTTAGATACCAATGCTCTATTACAGTCATGATTTAGAATTTACTTTTTTATAGAGCTGAAGAACCTGTGCATTACGGAAACATAATGTATGACAGAAGGGTAATCCGAGGCAACACTTACGCTCTGCAGTCGGTACCACTGGTGAGTACAGTTTGAATTGTCTGACACAGAGTACTCAGACTACCTGAGGTGAAGGACCAATTTTTGTTTCTTTCTTTAAATTTCTAATCTGTTACAGACTAAAACGTTTATGAAATAAAATAAGGATAGATTGCTAGAAAAATGAAAGGGGAAAAAAATGTATGCAAAATACAAACCGGATAGTGGTTGGCAGGGAATGGGGGAATAGGGAAGTGTTATTAGTGAGTACGGAGTTTCACAGAATGAGAAAAGTCCTGGAGATAAACGGTGGTAGTGGTTGCACAATGTGAATGTACTTAATGCCCCTGAGCTGTGCACTGAAAAATGGTTCAGTTCAGTTCAGTCACTCAGTCATGTCCAACTCATTGCGAACCCATGGACTGTACCACGCCGGGCTTCCCTGTCCATCACCAAATCCCGGAGCTTACTGAAACTCATGTCCATGGAGTCGGTGATGCCATCCAGCCATCTCATCCTCCGTTGTCCCCTTCTTCTCCTGCCTTCAATCTTTCCCAGCATCAGGGGCTTTTCCAATAAGTCAGTTCTTTGCATCAGGTGGCCAAAGTATTGGAGCTTCAGCATCAGCCCTTCCAGTGAATATTCAGGAGTGATTTCCTTTAGGATTGACTGGTTGGATCTGCTTGGGACTCTCAAGAATCTCCTCCAGCACCACAGTTCAAAAGCATCGATTCTTTTCACTCAGCTTTCTTTATAATCCAACTCTCACATCCATACACATGACTACTGGAAAAACCATAGCTTTGACTAGATGGACCTTTGTTGGCAAAGTAATGTCTCTGCTTTCTAATATACTGCCTAGGTTTTCCATAGCTTTTCTTCCAAGGAGCTAATGTCTTAATTTCATGGCTGCAGTCACCATCTGCAGTGATTTAGGAGCCCAGAAAAATAAAGTCAGCCATTGTTTCCACTGTTTCCCCATCTATTTGCCATGAAGTGATGGGACTGGATGCCATGATCTTAGTTTTTCTAAGTGCTGAGTTTAAGCAAACTTTTTCACTCTCCTCTTTCACTTTCATCAAAAGGCTCTTTAGTTCACCTTCACTTTCTGCCATAAGGGTGGTGTCCTCTGCATATCTGAGGTTATTGATATTTCTCCCGGCAGTCTTGATTCCAGCTTGTGCTTCATCCAGCCCAGCATTTCACATGATGTACTTTGCATATAAGTTAAATTAGCCTATTGTTTTCCTCTATTTCTTTGCATTGATCCCTGAGGATCTTATCTCTCCTGGCTGTTCTTTGGAACTCTGCATTCAGATGGGTGTATCTTTCCTTTTCTCCCTTGCCTTTTGCCTCCTTTAATCCCTTAGTCAGCTTTTGTTTGTGTACTTGAACAGGCTTTGTTTGGACTGAAGTTGTTTTCTTTGTGAGCTAATGTATTTTTTATGGAAACTCTGTCATGAAATTAGGCTAAAAAAAATTGAAGTGGTTTTCAGTTTGTTAACTACACATTAAAATCTATCGTGACTGAATGGTTACCTCAGTGTACTAGGCATCAGAGGAGTTCATGGTAAAAAATCCTTAAATGAGGAAAAACAGTTTACTATTTGGGATTCTGCACCCATTTTATTCTGGTTAACAGTCATACTTTGAAGTTACTTTTATGTGTTTTACCAGATACCTTTGTAATTGCCTGACAAATTTCAGATAAATTTTTAGTCACCAAGTCACTGATAAGCAGGAAGCATACTGTGACAGAGGCTTTTATGCCACCCGGGAATTACTTTGGAGCAGCACTCCTATACTCTTTGAGAAATATTTTCTAAATTTCATAAGCCGTTTCTGTCATTCAGCCTGGGCAGCCTGATCCTATAGAGATTCAGAGACAGCAACAGGCTAGGAGGAGGGCTTTTGCCAGAAAACGAGCCCAAGAACAGCTCAGACCACATACGCCTGAACCCGTGGAAGGCAGAAAACATGTGGATGTGCAGACAGGTATGTGGGCCCATGGCTTGGTGGCTCCTGGGTGTGTGTGGTTTTCTGAGTCAGTTCATTTTGTTTGACTTTCATGTTAACGTATCTGTTATGCCATCTAGTATTTCCCTGTCTCGTGGTAGAAAAAGTCCGTTCTGTAAACAAACTGATAGACTGAATATTGTTAATATATTGGGTATGGCTGAAAATGTGACATGGTGATTTTTTAAAAAAGAATATAAGGATCAAATTAATTCTGTCAGCCCTTTTCACATATGCTGTTCTCGAACTGGGAGTATTTCCTGCTTTTCGTAGCCCAAGATGACTCACTCTTGGATTCCTGGAAGTGGAGAGCAGTATAGTTTTATTTTGGTATTTTGTCTTTTGAGAGAAGTAAACCCTTTTACTGAATATCTGAAAATGTGGGTTATTAGTCCAAGCTTTACTAGTCCCGGGGCTTCCAGGGTAGCTCAGCTGGTAAAGAATCCGCCTGCAATGCAGGAGACTCCAGTTCGAGAAGGGATAGGCTACCCACTCCAGTATTCTTGGGCTTCACTGGTGGCTCAGATGGTAAAGAATCCACTGCAAGGCGGGCGACCTGAGTTTGATCCCTGGGTTGGGAAGATCCCCTGGAGGAGGGCATGACAACCGACTCCAGTATTCCTGCCTGGAGAATCCCCATGGAGAGAGGAGCCTGGCGGGCTACAGTCCATGGGTCGCAAAGAGTCGGACACGCCTGAGTGACTCAGCACAGCACAGCACAGACCTGTTTAGATCTGAGCCCCGCACCTCTCACCATGGCCTCTTCTTCCGGCTCCTTTTGTTCTCCTTCCCCTTGCATCCTCCCCAGGGCCACACAGGCTCTCCTGGGCTAGGGCCAGGCTTTTCCTACTTGTCTGCCTGTTGTCAGCCGTGGGGTTTACCTGGACCCATAAGGGTCCAGCTGTATTGTTGACAGAATCTTGGTAGTCAAGCAATACTTGATGTCCTTGGACATAAAATGTAACTACCTAAGATTCACCTTGCAGAGATGGTGAGTGGATTCACCAGAGATACTTCTGGATAGTAAGGACAAAAGGTTGAGGACCATTCCAAGCTTTTTCCTACCTTGAGCCCAAGTCTAGAATAAGTATATGTCTGTGATTAGCCAACATAGTTGTAATTCTGTAAGAGCTATATTTTAGTCTTTATTTATACCATCAGAATATGAAGCAATAGAATAGCAGCCACTTTTTACTGAGTACTTCTTGTGTCTCAGAGACTATACCTGTGTCTCCTTTATTGTTATGAAGACTGCAGGTGACTGATAACCATGATCCCTTTTGCAGATAAAGAAACCAAGACCCAAAGAGAATGTAATCGCTGGGTCCTATATTCAACACATGACTCCAGTTCTTAAAGTTTTTTGCATGATGCCATACTGCCCTTGCCTCATGTAAATTATTCCTAAGGTGAAATTTGTTTTCATATATCTGTTTATGATATGTAACACAATGATGTGATGCATAGTTTTTTTTACACGTCTAGGAATTTTCAAACCTTTAAACATCGACTATCTTAAGACTTGTTACATGGATGGATCCTTAACTTTCCATCCCATGTTATATTTTGTGTCTTATATACATCTATAGGTTCATGTTCTTTAGTTCTGTTTTCAAATACAAAGTTAAAGTCGCTCAGTCATGTCTGACTCTTTGCGACCCCATGGACTGTCCATGGAATTTTCCAGGCCAGAATACTGGAGTGAGTAGCCTTTCCCTTCTCCAGGGGATCTTCCCAACCCAGGGATCGAACCCAGGTCTCCCACATTGCAGGCAGATTCTCTACCAGCTGAGCCACAAAGGAAGCCCATTTCAAATACAAAGCTCAGTGATCTCTCAACATTTAATAAATGTTCTAGCCTGACTGACTCCTCCAAATATATAAAAATGCTTAGTACATTATGTGGATTGAATCCCACATTTGAGCACCTTTATTTCAAGACTTATATTCTGATCCATTCATTTCCGTTTTGAAGGGGCTATAGTTTCAAATTCTTGAAAAAGACCAGAATTTCAAACTTAATGTATATGGTGTTCTCTTAGAATTATACCTTGAAGAAATTGCTGACCGCATAATAGAAGTTGATATGGAGTGCCAAACAGATGCGTTTTTGGACAGACCACCAACACCACTCTTTATTCCTGCCAAAACTGGCAAAGATGTGGCCACTGAAATTCTAGAAGGAGAGGTATAGTACATTATTAGACTTCCCTCTGTCTTCTTTATAAAGAGTTAGGTTTAATTAAAACCTTAACATAAATGCAAACCACTTTACAATCAGGAAAATTCTAAATACTTACTGCATTTCCTTCCAAATGGAGTATGGTTTTATCCTGAGCTACCCAGAAATGTCTTTAAATATCATGATCTTTTATTTTTTAGTTTTTTAAAAAAATTTTAAATGCCATGATCTGATTTATCCTCTTTGCTGATCAGAAATAAAAAATTTTAGGAATGTATTTAGAATATTTATATATTTAATTTTTGTGTGTTTGCATACTTGCTTAATGGATGAACATAAGGTAGATTTGTACCAAATGAGGGAAAATAATATCTCTGGTATAAAAGGTGCCACTGCTAGTTCCTTGTTGATTACATAACTTTTATGAAGATAATTCTCTGTGTTAGGAAAAAAGCCCTAAAATAATTTTTATATCAATGTGGAATACATAAATATAGGCCAGTTTATGAAGCTGAAGAAGAGAAGGCAGTGTTCGTAATGACTTAAGTGAGATTTAAAACTCGAAGGAATTTGAAAGTATTGTCATTGAATTAGGAAATAAACTAAGTCTTCATAATCTATATAGAAGACTATAATTGCCTCTAAATCCTAGAGATGAATCACTGAAGTATCCATTATTCTTGTTCCTTTGTTCTTCAAACTGTTATCAAAACAACCAATAAAAATCAAGCAGAAAAGATGGAGAATTAGACAGACAAAGATATTTCCCTTGGGTTTTAGAGGTTTATTGAAAAATTATTGAGAATGAAGTTTCATTCTGATGATTGAATAGATCTTTTTATAACTTTGACTCTTATCAGTTTTTGCCTATAAAGAGCCTCTGTGCCTTTTGGGCTGTTTTGAAGATTAGAAACGATAAATTACCAGGTCAGTGTCTGGCATACAGAAGACCCTCAATAAGTAGTATCCTGTTATTTATTGCTGCTCTTGTGGATATATTTTCACTGAGCCTTCGGTCCATGATTAAAATTTTAAATCTGTTTTGTGTGTTTAAGCTGTTTGACTTTGATCTTGAAGTTAAACCAATGTTAGAAGTTTTGGTGGGGAAGACCATCGAGCAGTCTCTTCTGGAAGTGATGGAAGAAGAGGAGCTGGCAAACCTGCGGGCCAGTCAGTACGCATATGAAGAGCTCCGCAACGTCGAGCTTGCTGAAGTCCAGCGACTTGAAGAGCAGGAGAGACGACACCGAGAGGAAAAAGTAGAGAATTTTCGTTTTCTCTCTCAGACCGATTTCGGTTACTTAACAGATTATGTTCAGAATCACATGTAGAGCTAACGGGTCTTGGCAAACATGTTAGAAAAGACCTGTAGAAGTATTTGTTGTCAAGGTCTCTCCTGTAGATCACTGATCTTTCATGAACAATTACATTTTTAAAATCCCACTTTACATAGATGTACCTAAATGGAGACAGACTTCCCAGGTGGCTCGGCAGTACAGAATCTGCCTGCCACTGCAGGCAGCCCAGGTTCGATTCCTGGAGAAGGAAATGCAGCCTGCTCCGAGACTCTTCCCTGGGAAATCCCATGGAGAGAGGAGGCCTGGCAGGCTACAGTCTGGGGTCACCAAGAGTCGGACTAAACACCACCAACAACCTAAATAGAGTTCCCCCAAAATTCTGGCAGGTCACAATTTAAATTACATATGTCCCAAGGAAAGGCACTCTTAAATAAGAGTCCTGGAGAAGAAATAACATCAGTTTGCCAAAAATCAGTGGCAGAAAAGGTGGCAGGAAAAGGGGGAGTATATTTGGGAAGAAAGGGGATCTGGAAAGAATTCTGGGTCTTTTTCTCAGTGGCCAGCCCTGCTCTACACCCTTACAGATACACCTACTATCTGAGTCTTTATAGAGAATTTCTTCAGATTATAAGGTTTTTAGAACCTTTAATAAGAAAAGTTGTAGAATTCAATCATTAAATACGCCACAAACCTTTAGTTAGGAAGCACTCGGCTCAGTACAGTTTAATAAGAGTCTGTCTGGGTATGGCAGGAGCTCACCCTGTGTTAAACGCTGGATGGATAAATGATAAAGGAGTTTCCACACACTTGAAAGGGCTCAGAGTCTAGCTTCCCACACGAATAGCTGAGTTGTGGGAACATTCTACTCCAAACCTAGTCAAATGGATTTTCAGTTTTCCTCCAAAATGGGTAACTGTGTAAAGATCACAGGTCTGTTGATAAAGATTGTGCAAATGCACGATTATTTGTTCACAAGTATAAGATGAATCCTGACAAAATGAGCTTTGTTGAAATAATTGGTGAAGTTTTTATCAAAGAAGAGTTAAATTTGTTTATTTACTGTTTGGTGGTGTGTGCATGCCCAGTCATGTCTTGACTGGGCTGTAGCCTGTCAGGGTCCTCTGTCCGTGGAACATCTCAGGCAAGAGTGTGGGGTGGGCTGCCATTTCCTCTTCCAGGGGATCTTCCTGACCCAGGAATCGAACCCACATCTCCTGCCGAGCAGGCAGACTCTTTACCACTGAGCCACCTGGGAAGCCCTTGTTTACTATTAGGAAATGTTTTCAAAGTTTAAGCAAATATAAATCTGGATGACTTGTATTCTTCATTTTTTATAATATATATTATTTACTATTAGGAACTATGAAAAAACAAAGAATACAAGTCATCCAGATTTATATTTGCTTTAACTTTGAAAATAGACTAATTAGAAAATATATTAATGTTCCCACTTCTGCATGGGAATAGAGAAGGTAGTTCATTAGCTTCACAGATTTCATATGATCTATAAATAGCAACAGCAGCAAAAATGTTTTATAATTTTCAGAACTTTACAAATTCAAAGAATCATTATAAATGAGACAATTTATTGGCCCAAGTTTTTTAATCAAAGATGTCTAAGTGTAATTTTCATATCAGCAATACTTTATAATACTAATTAAAAATACAGATAACTATTATTATTATTATTTTATTTCAGTCAAACATGTATATCCTGGAATTATTTTACTTGAAAATAAATCAGGAAATGAATTTTACCTTAAGCATCAACTCCTCTGAATTCAGTACCTATCTAGCTGTTGAAATTCATTAAAATCTTAGTGAAAAATACAAACTGATCATAGACACCTTGCTGTCCATTTTTGGATACAAATATAAGTACAGATTTCTCCCACTCATGAGAGTCGGTGTCTGGGGAGGCTGAATAGCCACCTGTGATGGTGTTCTCCCTGGGCAGGAACGTCGGAAGCAGCAGCAATGGCAGGTGGTTCACAAGCATAATGAGACCTCCCAGAAGATCGCGGCTCGAGCGTTTGCACAGCGTTACCTGGCCGACCTCCTCCCGTCAGTTTTTGACAGCCTTCGGGATGGTGGCTACTTCTATGATCCCATTGAAAGAGGTTTGTTGGAGGTCTTTTGTTAGATTAACTGTTACAATAAGCATCCTGCTAATGGTTTGAGTTCATGTTGTGCCCATTTTTATTTTGAATTGGAATCTTTCTTTACCAGCTGAGCCACACAGGAAGCCCAAGAATACTGGAGTGGGTGGCCTATCCCGTCTCCAGCGGAACTTCCCGACCCAGGAATTGAACCAGGATCTCCTGCTTCTCAGGCAGATTCTTTCCCAACTGAGCTCTCAAGGAATCTTTCTATCTCTGGACCAAATTTTAAAATCAATTACAGTTGTTTTAAGAAAGTACCGTTACTAATAGAGGTGTGTTACAAAGATTTTAGAATGTTTACTGAGAAATAACACTGGAGAGTAGAAAGCAATATGGACCGGATGTCCCCCATAACGCCAGCCCCTTGTTTCATCTCGCATAGTGCCTATAAAGTCAGTTCTAAAGGCCTTGACTCCAGGGAAAGCCTCATAATTTTGCAAATACCATTTATACTTGAATAGAAAGGTAATGGACCAAACCATATAGAGAGAATACTATACGGCAAAAGTGATACTATACGAGTCTGTTTGACATTTTATAATAAGAAGACAAGGCTGATATATCTGTAACATTAGGGGAAAAGCACAGATTCTCCCAGTTTGTAATGCTTCATAAAAATCACTCAATGAAATTAACCTTTTAAATTGCAGATATTGAGATAGGATTCCTCCCGTGGCTAATGAATGAAGTTGACAAAAGCATGGAGTACAGCATGGTGGGAAGAACAGTGCTTGACAGTAAGCTCTTTTATGTTATCTTAAAAGTCATCTCTGAAATTTTTCAGTAAGAAGAACATAGAGAAAAAGGATGTTAATTTTACAGTTTTGGTTCTTAAATTTTCAGTATATCAATTCTATTAACAAAGTGAAGTGAAGTCGCTCAGTCGTGTCCGACTCTTTGCGACCCCATGGACTGTAGCATACCAGGCTCCTCCATCCATGGGATTTTCCAGGCAAGGGTACTGGAGTGGGTTGCCATTTAACAAAGGTACTTGTTTTTACCTTCAGTATTATTTTTGGTTCTTTTATAATTTGATCAGAATTAACATCTTCTGTCATTACTTTATAAATCATATTCTGTTAAAACAGGCATTGAATAGAATTCACATTAAGTGGCACAGAAGGTACGTATTGCTGACTTTGTATAAAAAGTCATGATACAAGAAAGGGACAAGGCCTGGTGAATATCTTATGCTCATCTATAAGCGAGCGTTACAACTACTAAAATATGAAAAGTCATAGTGATTTCTGTACATGCAATTTTCAGTGTTGATTCGTGAGGTGGTTGAGAGGAGACTGAATCTCTATGAGCAGAAGGAGGGCAGGCACGCCCCTGTGAGGCCTGAGTACGGGCTCGGCGGTCCCGGAGGAACGAGAGAGCCCCTGGTGGGTTTCGAATCCCGGGATCAGGGTGCAGCCCAGGCCCAGAGACCCCTTCCAGACAGAGACTCCCTACAGAGAACGGCATACGACGCAAGGTACATGGATAGAGTTTCGTCCCGGGAAAGGAGGCTCGTGGAAGAAGATGACGAACTGACAGAAATGAGGAGATCCTTTGAGAGGGAAGAGCTGTCGCAATAGAGGGGAGCCTCAGCGCCGTGGAGCCAGTCAGAAGCCAGTCAGCACTGCAATCAGTCAGGTAATGTGAGTCCCCTCAGCTCGTGGAAATTATGTTGTGTTTAGTCAGCGTGTCTTTGTCTCATGGACTGGGCAAATCAAATATGTTGAAATAATAAAAACTAATTTTTAAAATGAAACCTTATTTATTTAATAGTAGACTCTTTAGGAGCTATACTATAACTCTAATGAGAATTATGTCTAATTTCAAGCTTCCTATTACCAGTATATATAACTAATATATTTTTCCTACCTTCTTCCATCACCACTATATAACCAATATGTTTTTCCTTATTTGTCCCATGACCACTATATATCGCTAATATTTTTCTTCAGTTTTGTAGTTGCGTTCTTTTTTTAGTAAGTATGGTATTTAATGTTAGATACCAGTTCTGTTAGCCACTGAGCTTTTCTTCTCTGTAGAAAAACTTACTCCAAGCAGGAATCCCTCAAGGTTGGGTTCCTGAAAGCCACAGTGCTCTCTCCTTGCAAATACCAAGAAATATACCCTTGTCTATATAAAGATAAACAATTACCCTTTCCATCTTCAATGTTCAAGTAAAACTCTCATCTATTTGTTCACATTCCTGCTATTAAAAAATTTCAGATAATACCAATGAAGCTAAAATTCCCTCCTCAGACAGCGTATGTCATCCATCCATCCATTCTATGTACCATCCAGGCCTTTTTTAAGATATTTCTGGAGATAAAGATTTGAACATCTGGCAATATATGGGTTATAGTACTTGCATTTTCACCTAACATTTTATCTTAGACTTTTCAACATCAGTACATATAAATATTTTTTTTTAATGTGGTCAGATACAACTGTATTATAGGTAATTGCCATTTGACTTTTTAATCTGAACTTGTTTGGTGAATTTACCTGCACCATTGAAAATCATAGATATTTTTTACCTCTAAGTTATATTAGAGATATAAAACTCTGGCTTAAAACTTAACGTTCAAAAAACTAAGATCATGGCATTCAGTCCCATCACTTCATGGCAAATATATATGGAAACAGTGACAGACTTTATTTTCTTGGGCTCCAAAATCACTACAGATGGCGACTGCAGCCATGAAATTAAAAGACAGTTGCTCCTTGGAAAAAAAGCCATGACCAACCTAGATAGTGTGTTAAAAAGCAGAGATATTACTTTGCCGACAAAGGTCCATCTAGTCAAAGCTCTGGTTTTTCCATTAGTCACATATGGATGTGAGAGTTAGACCATAAAGAAAGCTGAGAGCTGAAGAATTGATACTTTTGAACTGTGGTGCTGGAGAAGACTCTTGAGAGTTCCTTGGACTGCAAGGAGATCCAACCAGTCCATCCTAAAGGAAGTTAGTCCTGAATATTCATTGAAAGAACTGATGCTGAAGCTGAAGCTCCAATACTTTGGCCACCTGATACAAAGAACTGCTGCTGCTACTAAGTTTTCACTTCAGTCGTGTCCAACTCTGTGTGACCCCATAGACGGCAGCCCACCAGGCTCCTCCATCCCTGGGACTCTCCAGGCAAGAACACTGGAGTGGGTTGCCATTTTCTTCTCCAATGCATGAAAGTGAAAAGTGAAAGTGAAGTTGCTCACTCATGTCCAACTCTTCGCGACCCCGTGGACTGCAGCCATCAGCCTCCTCCTTCCATGGGATTTTCCAGGCAAGAGTCCTTGAGTGGAATGCCATTGCCTTCTCCAGATGCAAAGAACTGCCTCATTGGAAAAGACCCTGATGCTGGGAAAGATTGAAGACAGGAGGAGAAGGGGGACAACAGAGGATGGGATGGCATCACTAACTCAATGGACATGTGTTTCAGCAAACTCTGGAAGTTGGTGATGGACAGGGAAGCCTGGTGTGCTGCAGTCCATGGGGTCTCAGAGTCAGACACAACTGAGTGACTGAACTGAACTGAAAGCTATATCAATCTCTAATCAGTGACATCTTCTGAGGCTTCAGATAGATATAGTCTACTTTTCTCAGAATGTTTATAAATATATAAGCTGTAGTGATTTGAAATAGCTTGCAGTTATTAACGCATTTACCTTAGTTTCTTTTTAAACGCGGCATTAAAAATACAGAAGAACATCTTTCTCCATTTATAAAAGAACTGGGCTGTATGTCTCAGCAGCATTTTTCATGAATCTCAAACCAACTTCCCACATTTTATATCCCTACATCATTTTAACGTCAGAGCAGCCCTTCTGAGGTCGATGTGACAGTGTGTTTATTTTCGTTTTCAATCGGTCATGGGTTTGTCCAGTCGGCAGGTGTTGACTGAATGCCTGCTGTGTGCTGAGGCCGTGAGGAGGCTGCAGCTGCAGCCTCACAGTGGAGCTGAATGAAGCAGGGGTGAAGCAAGAAACTGCAGCTCAGGGATTCTCAGTGGTTTTCAGTAGAGTGACTTGCCTAGTAAGTAATGGGGTGAAAGCTGGAGCCCAGATCCCCTTCCTTCCAAGCCGCTATCCTTTCTTCTCAACAGCCTTGCACTTTTGTGAGGTACAAAGAATAAATAAATTACTGAATTAACAGCATTTAAAAAATTGAAATCTGTCCTTTCGTTGCTGAGTTAGGTCCATCTTCTTAAACAGTCTGTGATTATCCTAAAATCTGTCACTGCTGTTTAGTTGCTCAGTCGTGTCCAACTCTTGGGACTGTAGCCCGCCAGGCTCCTCTGTCCATGGGATTTCCCAGGCAAGAATACTAGGGTGAGTTGCCATTCCCTCCTCCAGGGGACCTTCCCAGTCCAGGGATCCCATCCGCATCTCCTGCATTGGCAGGTGGATTCTTTACCAGTGAGCCCCCAGGGAAACCTCAGTGATCATCCTAAAATTTACAAGATACTAATTTTGGTGACAAGACCAGGAATTTTTTTTTTTTTTTAAGAATGCTTTCAAAATGGAGTGACGGTTGATTATCTTCTACAATTCTAATCCTCCTTCACTGTAACATTTTGCAGATGCTTTGCTAAACTTCTCATTCTGAGTTCCATAATTCCATAAATTAATTCAGTTTATTAAAGAAACCTAAATCTGTAGATCCCATACTGAAGCTGGTTAAGCTTAACTGCCTATTCCATCCTAGAGAGGAACAGAAATAATCAAGAGGTTAGGACACTGTCCCTATGAAAAAACGTGGGGAAGCTGGTGATAGAAAAATATTGAGTGGAAACTGAATTGTCTGTGCTCACATTTGGTCGTGCTCTTCTTAGGAGTTCTGATCCCTTCTGTTTTCAGCTAACACTAAGCTAAGGGAAGCTGAATAGTAATAAAATGGATAATATGTAATAAATTTCTAGAGATTGTCCTCCGCCAACATCAATTCCCAGATCACTGAACTAGATGAGAGGGAGGGGCAGAAGTCATCTTCTCCAGTGCAGGCCACACGGTGTGCAAGCCATTCTGACCTGGCTGAGCCGAGGACGCTGGCGTGGCCTGGAAGTCGCTCCGCGTGGTTGACAGCAGACCCCAGAGCCAGACCCGCTGGTCTCGAGTTCCTCACCGCACGCAAGGAGGTTGCCCCTGTAGTTAGGGCAAAGAACTGGTTTATTTGGAAAGCAGATGGGAGAGCGGAGGTCTTGCAGAAAGAAGTCGTATTTGCAGATGATAATTCCTCTAAAACTTGTAACAGGCGTGGGAGAAGTGGCACCTTGCATAGCATAGCAAAACGCTGTGGTAACCATAACCATCAGGTTAATCGTGCGCATTTCTTCTCACCTAAAAACTTTCATTTACTTGTCAATGTTGTTAAAATGTAGCAATCATATCAGCTAAATTTTTAATCTACAACTTCTAGATGCAGTTTTCATATGCTTTATTTGCTAGGCAAAATCTGATACATTCTGCTTTTGTTTGTAGGTGAATCACAGCAATTTTTATAAATTGCTATAAATTTTTATAATTTTTAATGTATTCTAGAGCTTAATAGCCGTAATCATTTATCTCAATTTATTTAGCATAAAGGCATTCTGGGGACTTCCCTTGCAGTCCAGTGGTTAAGACTACAAGCTACCAGTGCAGGGCCATAGGTTCCATCCCTATGGTTGGGGACCTAAGATCCCATATGCCACACAATGTGGCCAAAAAAATAAAATTTAAAAAATAAAGGCTTTCTGAAAAAGCACAAATATGCATTTAATTTCCCCATAGACCAATTAGTACCTACTGTTTTTTTTTGCTATAGCTCCAAGATCTAACCAGAACCAATCTTTTCCAGGTTTGTTCACAGTCAGAGACCCAAACAAAATGTTACACATCAGGTGTCACTATCATGAAAAACTACTGTTAATGCTATTGGATTGCTGTCTATAATTCTCGCTTTGAATTGGAACATATTTACCTTTTTGTTTTAGTGCTTTCAACTTACAAATTAAAATTTAATAAATCGATAGTTTAGATGATACTCTTTGTTTTTCTTAAATCTTGAAAATAGAATTAATGAAATATATGATTTAAAAGATACAGTACTACCAGCTTCCTAGGTGGCAGCTAGTGGTAAAGAATCCACCTGCCAATCAGGAGACACAGAGATGTGGATTCAATCCCTGGGTCTGGAAGAGCCCCTAGAGGAGGAAATGGCCACCTGCCAGGCTTCAGTCCATGAGGCTGCAAAGAGTCAGATACGACTGAGTGCACAGGCACACACGCAAAAGATACAGTAATGGTTATAGCTTTGCTTATAAATAAAATCAGTCAAGATATTGAAGTTTGAAATTTCAATACAAAAGTATAAC